CCTAACCCCTCGCATGAATATATAGTTTCATAAATATTTCAAAATTTTGTATATATATTTGAAACTACAAAAACTAATATATATTTTAATTTTTCACACTTCTGCATGTTCCTCTTGAAAAAAGTGAGTTACATACACTAGTTGAAAGGGGGGGGGGTGTTTAAAAAACTAACCTAGCAATTTTATTTTACACACTCATTTAAAAATATGCGGCCACGCAAAGATTAGGCTGATTAAAATTCTTTTAGAATTAGAGTATGTATAGATATATAAGTTCAGAGATTTCGACAAGAGGTTGTCGAATCTAAAAGTGGTTTGATGGAGTAGCATCCTGCCAAAAAAAAACTTAACAAAATAGAATTACACCTCTGTGGTCACTCTCTTAAATCTTTGAAAATCCTTGCTTCCTTTCAAATTGTGATTTCTTCCTTAATCGCCCCGAATAGATTGCATGTTAATCACTATTCTGGAAAACTCATACATTTCCCTTCCACACCATCCAGCTAGCCTAACATGAGGGCCAACTTGTTGAAGGCCAGTGGCCTGGCCCCCTCCAACAAAAATATTTTCACACATAATCACATAGCTAATTAGGTAATTAACCTAAGTAGGTAGTGTATTTGCCCACTTCAAGGTTCTTAAGTCCCTTCCATATCTAAATCCTGGCTCCGCCAGTGCCTGTAGCTGATCTGAAAATCCTATCATGCTCTTAACCACAAGTCTCCCAACTCTATTCCTGCTTCACTTGGCAGCTGGAAGCCTACAGCAATCCACCCCTGAGCATTCCCCAAACTCTCAGGACACAAAACATGTGGTTACAATCTTCATCCTCCTCTGCTAGGCAAAACTTACAAGCTTGTTGATGTGGCCACCCACATTTAATAAGGTTGTCTCTGATTAGACATCGTTCTTTTTTCTGCTCACAACATAAAGAACTTCACCTTGGATGGTGCTATCGTCTACCAAGATCAGGTTACTACATCGAGCAATCGTCTTGGCCATGAAGAACATGATGTACACCGACAACGAAGAAAACTTGCAAATCATCTCGTCCTCTTCTCCATGGTGCAGTACGTAGTACTTCCTAAACTGCATCCCAGACCTAAAATGCTCCCCAATTGCGTGGTTTGAAGGTGCTCTCTTAATATCATGCACCCAACGATGATTCTGCAACCTCATGAATGTTTTTTAGATAATAGAAATGGGTTACATCTCCGGCCTCTGCCCGTAGGCACGGCCCCTTTTTACTGGGTTTCAGTTCAGGCATGTCCAACCACTAATTCGATTCGCTACACTATTGGGTGGGTGCAGTACTGAGGGCCCCTTTAAATCAAAGGAATTTCATAGGATTCAAATCCTATAGGAATTTTTCCTATGTGGCCATTTGATTCAAAGGATTGAAGTTTTCCAAATCCTATGAAAATCCTATGGAATGGCTCATTGCATATAGATTTTGATGGAAATTTAGCAAGAGCTCTAACCTCTTGTAAAATTTTCTTTGAGTCTATCTTTCTCATCCAATTCCTGCAATCCAATTAAACGGTTATTCCTGTTTTTTTTTATGTTTTGCAATCATCTGTTTTACACTTGTATTCCTATCAGAATCCCGTATTTTTCCTATACTTCCGTTTTTTCAATCTTACAATTCAAAGGGGCACTAAGTTCCAGAGATGTATTTTTCATCTTTCATTATTTTTATGAAAAGGGGGATGAGTTCAATCCCTTTGCTGCCACTAGTGATTTTCTTCTAATGTACAAACTCCAAACTGGTCAATGGAAGAATAAAAAAAATAAAAATGTGCACAATTTGGAACAGTATTTTATGCTCCGGCCAGCGTGCTTAATTTTGTGGAGAAGGCATTTTTAGGATCCTGGACCCCTCCCACATTGGTTCTGCCATATATAAGTAATTTTATTCAGAGACCAGGCATGCCTCTCCATTACTTATGGCAGGTTGGCAATGGCTCTTTTTATCTTTTCAAAGAAAGGAAAAGGCATGTGTTAGTTTTCAACAGTTAGAAGTACAAGCGGAAAGTTCAAAACTACTAATTTAGTACAAATTTTGGTTGGTGAGAATCTGCAAGTTTATGAATAGCGCTAGCACATGACGATTTGGCGCCGTTCCCAACATCACATGGCAACTCTCATCCAAGTGACGAATTTCCTAAACACAGGGAAGGTTAAAAGATAGCATCTTTAGGCGATGCGTGATTGGTGTAAAAGGGTATTGGGTCTTTCCAAATTAGATATGAAGCACATGACATGTCTGTTGGCAGAGCCAACTCAACTGTTGCCAACACACACTGGGAGGTTTGACTGGGTATAATCCCCTGTTGCCAACAACCACCTGCTATCTCCCAAATTATTGTCAAATGTAAGCATATTTAATCTTCCAATGTACTCCAGTAACACAAAGAGAAGCATAGTGTATACTCTAATATGAATAAAACTGTGTCATGCATATGAGATGTTACAGAAACCTGACAAGGTTGTACTGAACCATTAATTATGATACACAATTACTGGAACATTACAGAAACCTGACATAAAGAAAGCATAGTGTATCCTGAAATATGATTACTTTGATGTCCTTTGGAAAAAAAACTCACTTCATTTCAATCCACTTGTCATTCTAACAAACCTTACACTAATAAAGAAGGTATAACAAGTTCATAATTACATCCCAATTAGTTTTCTCATAACAAGCTTTAAAAGATGTGGTATGGAAGTATTAGAGCATGTTCAAAGGTAGAATATAGTATACAACACATTTTTATTTAGAGAGTATAACCTTACAACAGTTGAGACGCTAAATACTTTAACCATTAATCGAAAAATCAATGTTTTGTTAATATTCATTCTTTTTTATCACCCACATGCAGCTAAATTTCAGGCTAAGAATTGTTGTTGAGTTATTGTTAACCGTATTAATGATGTTTGTCTTTTATCTCCTCTCTTTCATATCAATAAATATTCCTAATAACAAGACTAAGAGTCCAACTATTGTGGTTGTATTTTATAAGTGTATAAAGGAAAAGTTAGCTTAAAATACACTTAAGAATATCATATTAATAAGTATTTTTTTCAAAAAATAACTAAAACGACGAGCAATTTGAAACAGGGGAAGCTTACCGTTGGGTTCACAAGTGCAAGTGCTTTCTTATGATAGACAACATATATATTTTTTGAAAGTGTTTTTTTACAATCATAGTTCGAGAGTGAGGACTGGGAGAGAGTACGTACTGGGTCTTATGATGCAAACAAAAGGCCATTGTCAGCGATGATGGAAGAGGGGTAATTAGGAAGGGGACAATCGATGGCTGCGAGGGCACCTAATAATCAATCAATAGATAGAAGAGCTAGCTCCACAATCATGCAGTGCCAATGTAGTAGTACGAGACTGGTGCAAAAATCTCAAGATAGACGCATGACGGCCTGGCCCAGCAATTAACGACTAAGGGCATCCACAATGGTTATCTATAGGTTCTCTATAAGAGATCCATGTCAGCATATTTTCCTACTTAGAAGAGATTAAATGAAGAGAGAGAGCAAAGCTATTTACTAACCTGGAGATAGTCTATAGAGAAAAACGAGGCAATGGATTAGAGAGCTATAGATACCCATGTAGACATACCATTGAAGTGGTTTACTATTAATCTAGTCTATTGCTGAGATGTACATGTTTTATAGATAGCACCTTACTTTACCATTGCGGGTGCTCTAAGAGCAAATTTAAGAGGATAGCCAACTACTAACTTCAAATCATCTCTAACCAATGTAATAGCCAATTCATATAATAGTTGTTTACTATACTATTAATACTTGGTCCTACTTGTCATACACAAATTACGTTTTAGAGTCCGCACTGCAGCTGGCTATAGAAATCTATAGCCCGTTGTTTTTCTCTCACTTCCTTTTTCTCTTTAAAATATATTTATAGCTGGCTTATAGCCCTGCTATTATACCTGCTCTAAGGTTGCGCTGGACCTGTTGTTGGTCGTACCACGGCCGGTGTCGCGACCTGCCACCAGACGACGGCCACACGCCTGGAACATCCAATCAGCGACCATGATCATGATGATGTCGCAGCAGCAACCACCGGAGCTCACCTCATCTCATCTCATGTGCGTGGCTGTTCATCCGGACAATGCAAGCGCCGTTGATTATGGCGATGCCTGCATTTTCTCTGACCCAACCCAACCCAACCGTCGTCTCACCCGTTGATTATATATGAAGATATCTGTTCCAACTTCCAAACCGTTCAGCTCATTAGGATATGTCCTCTTATAAATGGGGACACATCAGGACATAAATGGGAACATATTAGGATATGTCCTGTTACTATTCACCTGAAATTTGTTTTTTTTTACTCCTAAACGAAGTTGAGTTTGAACTTGAGATTTAGTGAAAATGTATTTCATATCTACACATATCTCTAATATTTTTTTCATGAATTTATAAAACTTTTAGGTATGATTTTCACGAGTTTTTAACACTTAGCTCATTTTCACCTGATATGTCCCCTCTATAATGGTTGGAGTAATCAAATTGGAATGGCATTTAGTTTTAGTTATAGTTAGGTGCAGGTGCAATCTGATGTGGCCCAGCAACAGACACACAGGTGGCGAGGATGTACACAGACAAGCAAATGAGCAAAGCAACCTGTATAAAATCTGTTTCGACCTCCAAATGGTTCTATCAAGGAGCCCATCAGGATATATAGAATAGTTGGGAGTAACATTGGCAATCTGGCATGGGGTGTAGTTGGTTAGTTAGGTGCAGGTGCAACCTGATGTGGCCCAGCAACAAGTCACAGGCGGCGAGGATACGAGCCAAAATGAGCAAAGCTAGTCTAGTAATGTTCAGCAATACGTTGCATTTCACTACAATCGTCAGCAAAAACTTGCAAGGGATTGGAGACAGCAGCACTATGCTCAAGTGAGGCCTGCATCCAAGAGTCACAGCCCACAACTATATCCATCCACTCCTCAAGAAATCCCTAGCGACAGAAAGGATTAGAATGTAACCTCAATTATGCAGTGTACATTCCAAGTTTCATCAACTGTTGCAAGACACCAGTGCAGATCTTTAACTAACAGAAAAAACAAAACATATGAAGGACTGTAATCTTGACTATACCTAGCAAGGTTGGATTGACATTTCAATCCTCCCTGACCTAAGCACATAAAGATAAAGATCATAGCAGATTCTTCTGGGCAAGCAGAACCCCCACTGCTGTACATACCACAACGGAGAAAAGACCATCCCGAGACCTCAACCGCTCCTTCCATGTCAGGGGTTCAGAGACGTTCCTCAACACTTCCTGAAACTTTTCTTTGGTTTCATCCAGCGTGCCAGAATTGTCGATCACAATGTCTGCTTGTGACTTCTTCCAGTCCAACGCAAGCTGCGCATTGATCCTATTCCGAGCTTGTTCTTCAGAGCACCCATCTCTTGACATTAGCCTCTCAATCTGGGTTGCTTCATTCACCCACACAACAATAACAGGGTGCGTCCATTGGTCCATCTTTGTCTCAAACAACAGAGGAATGTCGAGGACGATAACCTTGCATCCTTTTATCCACAGTTTTAGTATCTCCCAAAATATCCCAGATGAAATATGTGGAGCCAGGAGACTGAAAGTAATCAGTAAGATTAGAAAACTAGCTCTAAATAACTATCTATCAGCAAACGATGAATGAATGCAATCTAAATCTAAATACAAAAGGAAGTACCAGGTATGAGTGTGTGATCCAACCAACAGAAAATAATGAAGGATAACCAGTAATGGACTCAAATAATATGTGTTCACTAACACTAAAGAAAGATAAATAATACAAATGAAAGTAAGAAATAGCCCAATGAATTAGCCAAAAGTCAAGTTCATAAATATAGTAGATTCATTAGAACCGAAAATCATATGAAAGTGAAATATTTCAGTTGACGAGATGTACCGGTTTAGAACTTGGCGTTTTTCCGGGTCAGAAAAGACAATCTGTCCTAAGCGAGCTCGGTCAATTTCTCCATTTTCTAACAGAACATCATTTCCAAAAGCTTCTACAATCTTCTTCCAACCTCCAGTGCCTTTCTGTACCACATTCTGCAAATGTATAACTCCCAATCAGTACAAAATCTTGCAATGAACATTGCGACCATATGCTAGTATGCAACTTGATCAGGGTTTAGTATTGAGAACTAATACACATGCAGCTGCAAGTGGAGTGTAACTCATGCTAAAATATCAAAGATAGTCTATGTAACAGTTCCAACTAAAAAATCAAAGATAGTCTAATTCTGTTTGCCCCAGAATCATGAGTAAATTGATACTGCCCAAGGAAGCCAAAATTCCTATGGGTAAAGCCTATTGGAACAGCTTAGCTGTGTTTTCTGTAGAAAGGTCCTAATGTTGTTACTAAGTACGCAATAGCCCTCAAATTACTGTCAGTCTACGCTATATGTTTAAAGGACCTCCAGTTTTGAAAGTACAGACTACAGAGTAATAAAGTTTGAATATTTTGACCGGTTTAGTTACTCCAAGCCCCATCAACTTCAGTTAAGTTTAACATGCATGTGAGAATAGTATATAAAAAGGGTAAGATGCTAAGAAATAAGAGAACTCGTAGTCATGTCTGTACAGGCTTTACAGAAAACTGGCTGGCAAAATACATTGAGAATTAACTCCTGCTGGTACCTATTCTACCAGTTCCCTGTTAATTCCTAGGCAAAATTTGCCACAAGACACGCAAAAAACGTGTAATTGGCTGAGAGACACCACGAAAACGTGACACGGCTGATGGACACTACAAAAAATGTGTAATTGGCCGTAGGACACCGATCATATTATTTTATTATTTCCGGGTCAAAAGAGGTGAGATATTTTCCCAAATGCTTGGATTGCCCTTTCTCTTTCCTTCTTTAAACACCGGTGGGTCCCATGTGTCATGGACAGTGTATGTTTAATCTAATTTTTAATAGGTTTTTATCCACCTGGTCCCACGCGTCATGGACTAATTTGTTCCTAATTAACAGGGTGCTTACTATTTGCTAATCATAAGTGGGGCCGACATCTCTCTCCTATCCTTCTTCTTTCTCACGCACGCGGCGGAGTGGAGGAACGGCGCGACGGCTCGAGCCAGGACGGCTCGGCGCGCGGCGGAAAAAGCGGCGGCGCTCCGCCTGGGTCTCACCGCCGGTGAGGGCGGGGCGCCGCGGCCACCAAACGCACGGCGCGCGCATCGGGGCGAAGGAACGGCACTGACTGCAGGTCTGAAGCAGCAGCCACGACGCGAAGAGGTAGTTCATGGCGACGTGGTGCTTGAACTCGGCGCGCACGACGGGGAACCGGAGGAGGCGCCGCGCTGCGTAGAGCACGCTCAGCGCCACCAGCTTGAGCAGCGCCAGCGACCAGAGAAGCACGAACGCTGCCGACGGCAGCGACCACACCACCGAGCCCAGCGCCTGCGCATCCGTCGACGAGTCGCTCAGCGTTCGCCACATCAGCTCTTCTGCCCCGACAGCGCAAGGACGCCGGAACATGGTGCTCTACCATGCGGCGCTGCCAACGCACATAGTGACCAAGGGGTCCACGTACGCAAGCACTATCATCACACTAAGCGAGCAGCAGGTGCCAGCGCTCCATTATCACGCTAAGCAAGCAACATGAATAAAGAAGAAAACCGTGAAAAAAGAAAAGGGCAAAATTGACATTTCGCACAGCTTTTCTCTTCCCAGCTAGGTGTATATATTATTTTATTGCTCATAGTGTCCACCAGCAAATTACACATTTTTTAGAGTGTCTTTCAGCTGTTTCACGATCTTGCGATGCCCCTTAGCTAATTACATGTTTTCTAAATGTCCTGTAGCAAATTTTGCCTAATTCCTATTGGCAACCAGCCAAAAGCAGTATTGATTTGCTAGTGTGTACCAAAGCTTCATCGAATTAAATCAAGTAAAATGGGTTAAACCGTGATAAAAACAGGTTATCAACACTAGCAAGAAGAAAGCAACAAGCCAACAATTCAATCCTAAGGTGATATATTCCTTGAACCTTTACACAAAGTTGTCAAAAGAACAATTCATCCATGAAAAACATGCTACATTTTTTCATCATTCAGTAACTTGCTCATAGTCTTCCACTCATGAAATATACACACACAAACAGAAGAATTGTGAGTTTGATGTGATGGAGCTCTGGTTACTTACCCGAGCAACAATGTCGGCATCAACAACAGGAATGCCGCTAGCCTTGAACAGGTTGGAGATGGTGCTCTTTCCAGACGCAATCCCACCAGTCAATCCAACCAGCCTCATCCTTTTATTTCACTCCTACATTTTTTTGAAGTAAAGAATTATAAGGGCTGAAAATTTTGTATTATCCTTTAACAATAATTCAAACCATTAAACCAAACACAGAAAGTGATACTACTTCAAACATCTACAAAAAAAACCTTTACAACATTCATGTTACGCAAAAGTTTTAATTCCACCGCTATAGCGCCTAGAATATTTTTTAGGAAAAAGGAACTGATCGGTCGGTTTTCAAACACAATTACAGTACTGTTTCGCTAATACACAGCCCAATAATAATAGTGTTTTTTTCCAAATAAAACTTTATCTCCTAATCGCAAACCACTTTGAATTGAAGAAAATCTGCACAAAATTAAAGATGTGGCCTAGACCCAGGGGCGGATCCAACTTGGGACATGGGGGTTCAGTTGAACCCCCAAACTTTTGGGTGAACAAACAAACTGTTATTACCTGAATTATTTAAGAGAGGTTTAAGGCTATCAAATTAAGGAGGAGGAGAAGATCTAGAAGAGAAGCTAGTAGGGTTCACGAACGCAAGCAAATTCCAGTCCCGGTGGGGTGGGAGAGAGAGAGAGAGAGAGATGAATCAGAAAGAGGACGCACCAGGATCCCCTCCCCTCCGCTGCGATGGAGATCGCCGCCCGGCCCTCCCCTGTTCAGCCGCGACTCGTCTTGGCGGCGGCGCAAGGAGGCAAGGAGCGGAGGAGACAACGAGAGGTACTCGACTACTCTGCCCTTATCTCAATATTTTTACTTACCACTCCCTCCGTACTAAAAGTATAGATTTGCAAGGTTCACATCCAACGTTTAACCTTTTATATTATTTGAAAATTTGAAAACTTTTCAAAGACGGATGGTCTAAAGTTTAACACGGATTTTCACGGCTGCACTTATTTGGGACAAGGTAGTATTTTAAAACTAGCTAGTGTTATTTTTTTATATAACTGGTGACCCATGTATCATCAATACTTACGAAAAAATTAAACGATTGTGTCGACAACAAATTCCTCATACCACCAGCAACCGCTAACTGCCACTCTACGCACCGCCATCACTGCTCTTTCTCCATGAACCACCATCGTTCCTCTCCTTTACCTTTACATGCGCAGCCTTAACCTCTAGTAACCGACAAGTCTTTTTCTCCTCCCCTATCGTGATGCGCACTATTGTTATCGTTGCCATTGAGGTCGGAGATGTCGGGCTTGCAGGGACTTTGGAAGGCAGGAGCTGACCCGACGAAGAGCGAAGGCGCTATATCCGGGCTCTTTCTTGCTAGATCTATCGGTTATCCAACTATCATATGGATAAAGAAAATGGAGAGAGAGAAAGAGAGAGAGAGTTAATGTGCGAAGTGATTACTGAGTCACCGGACTTGGAGATGGATAGAATATGGTGGTCCAAATTAAAATGTAAAGTTAGCTATTGTGTAAATGAAAATGGTTAAAGGATACCATTATATGAAAACTTTTAAGAATTTTTAAGAATACATAGTATGGATTGTAATTTACTTCCTTTGTCAAAAAAAAACGAATGTAGAACTGGTGTGGCACATTCTAGTACAGCAAATCTGAACATATGTATGTTTAGATTCGTTTTACTAGGATGTGTCACATCCAATCCTAGGTTAGTTTTTTATGGGACGAAGGGAGTATTTTTTTTTCTCTAGCACAATTAAAGATAATTGTCCATTACCCAATAGTCTCGTGATATGCTAAGTATGATTACACCGCTGTACTTCTCTATAACTAATAATCATGATATGTTGATACATGACGATACAGACTTCTACTAACACAGGCTGATTAACTATGGTTAGATAGATTCCGCTAAAAGATGATAAAAATAATACCATCATTTTTGCTCAATAATAAAGCATTCGACTCTTTTCTCATTGTATTATACTGCCTCTGTTTTTTAATAGATCATGCCGTTGACTTTTTCTCACATGTTTGACTATTCGTCATATTCAAAAATTTTATGCGAATGTATAAGATATAAATCACACTTAAAGTACTATGAGTGATAAAACAACTCATAACAAAATTAATTATAATTATGTAAATTTTTTGAATAAGACGAGAGATCAAACATGTGAGAAAAAGTCAACGACGTCATCTATTAAAAAACGGAGGTAGTATATGATAACTACATTAGTACATATTTCTGTAATTCTTTCATATTGTTTTTTATTTTCTACATATATGTTAATTTGGACTAATATATTTCTCATAATTAAATAGATAATACATCATTTTTCCATATTTCTCCTATAAAATAGAATAGGGCATTTTATAATTTAAAAATTATATTATAAGTGTATGTAATTTAATGTGTAAGATATGGACTTATAGTATAAGATTTAACTTTTTCTAAAAATGAATGCCGCATCATGGTAGATAGGTAGTTAACTGAACAACCATAAAAAATAGAGACAATCCACTGTGTGTCACTGATTTTGTCCCTGCTCTACAATATGTCATTGGGTTTGTCAAGTTCTAATATGGCATCGCATTTTGGTTAACTTCTATAATATACCATCGTCGTCTAGTTAGCCTCCATTAGCATTATACAATTTTATTATACAGATTGTAAAACTTAAAGAGTCTGAGATGGGCAACTTCTCTGCCTAGTTTATAATATGATATTTCGGAATTTTCGGCCAAATTTTGGAAAATTTTGTCCTAGGGATATTTCAATCATTAGGACAAAATTATACAGTACTAACGGAATCTAAATGGACGGCGATGGTATATTATAGAATTTAAGCAAAATACAATGACATGCTGTAGAACTTAACAAACTCAGTGGCATATTATAGAACAAGGACAAAGTCAGCGGCACACAATGGATTCTCTCTAAAAATAATCTAGTTAAATTGTTTCTTTTTTATCCAAAACAAAACATCTTTTACCTAAATACGTTCAGAGAACTTCGAAAGAAGTAAGAAAAAGAGGAGGTTAGTCACTAGCCCAAACACATGAGGGTGGTTGCTCACATCCATGGTATGGTATATACTCACATTAATCGATAATACACTAATATTATTAAAATTGTTCTTTGTAGTGAATGGTGTGAAACTAAAAACTTTAACCTTTTATATTCTTCTGTTGTTCCATCTTCTTCTTTTTTCTTATTCTTATTTATTTTTGATAATAATATTGCTACAGACAGCACTATTACTTGCACATGAATACTAAGCAGCTAGCTCATGTGTGTATGCTCCGTAATATATATTACCTATGTTTTTACATGAGGAATAATAACTATTATCTTTGTTAATGATATTGTATTTATAAAAGGTATCTGACTAGTTTTTTTTTAAGAGAAAGATATTTTTGCTAAATATAATCTAGAATGCTATAAAGGTTAATAATATTAAACGATATAGTCATATAATTTTTTTTGGATAAACTAGTGATCAACACTTGTTATGAATCCAATGATCATAATGCACTATATATATTGTTCAAGTGAGTTGTGACATTCACTATTTACTAATTACATGCCTATGCATTACAATGAGATCTACATATAAAAATAAGATTTAGTTTATTTCTAGTCTTGTTTTTATGATGTATTGGATTTTTTTTACGTTTCTTTAGAAATAATATTGTATAAAAATTAAATAATTTATTGTTTTATAAATGTCACACCCTAAAAATCTTAAATATATAAATTTTTGTTTAATTGGAATTATTAGAATTTGATTTTAAAAGCCTAGAAGAGAAGATCTAATTTTAAATAATAAATTCCAATATAAAAGTGGGCCAAATAAAATTTTATTAAATACTTCTCTTGATTCTATAGTTCCTAGATTTTTCTGGGATTTATTTGAGCCAAGGAAGTATTTTTAATAAATGGAATTGCATTTCATGAATAATTCAAATTGAAAAAGTTTTAAAAATCTCTCTTTTGGCTTTGGGCCCAAAACCCTCTCTCTCTCCTCCCCGGCCCAAGTTGGCCCGCAGCCGAGCGCCGCTCTTGCGCGTGCGCGCGTCCGCCGCTGACAGGTGGGGCCCACCTGTCGGACCCGTCGTCCTCCTCGCGCCCGAACCCTAGCCGAGCCGCGCCGCTGCCGCCCTTCCAATTCGGCCGCGCCTTTCCTTCTCCGGTGAAATCAATAGAGGGGAAATGATCGCCTTGATCTCCTCTATCTTTTCTCTTTTGGAATCATCGACTAATTCGCTTTGGAAATCATCGGATTCGAGCTCGAATCGGATTCGTTTCTTTCCTTCCAACCCTAATCTTTCCTTCTCGTCGCCGGCCGCCGTGGGCCTTTGCCGCCGCCCCCTAGCCGCTAGAAAAGGACCCCCAAGCCCTCCGCTACCCGCCGCCACCCCCGCCTTCGTCTCCCGCCGCTGGTAGAGCCCTAGCGCCGTGCAGCCTAGCGCCGCCGTCGCCGCCATTCGTTCAGCCGTGCGTCGTCGCCGCTCCGGTCGTCGTTGTCGCTCGGGAAGGCCACCGTCGTGATCGCCAAGCCGTCGCCGACCTCGTCCACCCCTCCGTCGTCGCCTTAGGTCGCCGGAGCACCGCCGTCGTCGTCAAGCCGAAGGTCTCCGCCGCTTCTTCCTCGCCGCCGTCGCCGTCCGTTGATCTTCCGCCGCTGCTTTGGTCACCAGTGATTTCGCCGTGTCGCCCGCAACGTGTTGGTGCCCTCCGTTCGCGCTGCCACGTCGTCGTTCGCCGGTGAGCATGCGCCGTCGAGCCGTTGTCGGTGATGACGCCACCGCTGACGTCATCGTCGCCGTGTCCCGTGGACCGCCGTGTGGACCGCCGTGGACTAGATCGATCTTGGCCGTCCGTTTTGGATAGATTAATCTCAGCCGTTTGTTTCCGTAGACCGCCGCCATGCACCCGGTCCACCATGATCCCGAGCCGCTGACGCAATAATCTCTTTTTCCTTTTCAAAAATAATTCATTATTGCGTCATAATTCAATTAAAATCTATACAAATGATTTAATCCGATTAAATCTTTGAAAATTCATAACTATTTCATCTTAGTTCGGATTTAGTTGGTTCAAGTCTCTAAATTTTTCTAAAATTGAGATCTACATGTTAAAAATATCCACATGTACTGTTCATGCTTGTTTATGTGCTGTTTTGGTGATTTTGTTCTTTTTTCTTTAGATTCCGACGTTCCCGGAGAGTCCGAATTTGCAGGAGAAGACTTTGAAGAGTTTCAAGGCCAACAAGGCAAGTCACACAGATCCCAAACGACCCTTTGAGCATGTTGATCCCGTTTAAAGCTATTGTTTCTTTTCAACTATTGCATTTATTTTCGAATGTCATTGGGTGGAAATAACCTATTGCCTTGTTATAGCCCTTTTGCTATTGATTCCCTATTCTTTGTCACTTGGTTAATAATTTGATTAGCTAGAACATTATATGGTTTTAGCTAAAGTGAATAGGATGCTTAGCCATGCTTAGAGACACTAGCTCACATAAATGGGATAACTTATGATTCACTACTACTTACTACTTAATGATGGCTTAATGATAGCTCATGATGGTTAATCATGATTGGTTAATTAATCAATTTGCCAACTGAAACCTGATAATGGTGGGTTGTGAGCATATGGTTTTGATGGTTGTGCTCATGACAATTAAGGACTGGTTCACGATTTTCGGTTGTGAAACATTTACCGTGCCAACCACAAGCCAGCGTGGGCAATGGCTTTACTTTCTGTATGTATGATTCATAGTAGAGCACCAGACTGTGAAGTGGTGGAGATAAGCCCACGGGGGTCGCTGGGGAGT